TTTTTTTAGAATATTAAATAAATATAAATCAAAGTATTTAATAATAGCACCCCCGCCTCAATCACCAAAATATTTTTATAAAATTGAGAATGAAATTAAAGAATTATTTACATTTTCAAAAAGTGTTCAAAGAAGGGTTGATAAAAGAATTGAAAATTTATTTAAGTTTGTTTTTTTAAATATTTTTGAAAAGACTGTTTGAAAAGTATTTTTAGAGATGATAACTCACACAAATTTTGTGTGTTTACTCGCCGTGGCGATTTTACTAAGCCAGAATGGAAAAAATGGCACAAAGCTACTAATAAAGAATTTACAGAGAAAGCAATAGAATTTATTATAGAGAAGGAATTAAAGGTATAAAATATTATAAAAATTGATGTTGAAGAAAAAATCAAAATATTTAATAAGTTCGGGTAAGAGTAAGTAGTAAGTGGTTTAAGTGGTTTTAATGAATCAGGTAAATATTCGATCTGACAGTTCTTAATGTTAAAAAATAACTGAATTTTTCTATGTTGACATGTTTCGGCGTTTTTCAAAATTATTATATTTTCGAGGACTTCATGATATGTCTAACAGGTCATACTTTTTTGGAAAAATTTTTTTGAAGTCTGCAAATTTTATATCTGATTCCCTCCAGATTCTGAATACAATGCAAGAAATCTCAACCAAATCGTCTGGATTCTACCGAGTTATGAATTTTTGAAATCGAAATCATTCATTTTTGCAAAAAATCGACATAAAATGGGTGTTTTTTCGATTTTCAAAAATTCATTAAGTTAACATTAAGAACTACCAGATCTGATAAGGATAACGGAACTACATAAAAGTTACTCGTTTTTAACTAAATTTACGCCGCTGTAATCTTTTGTTCGCCTTGGCGAAGACAATTATTAATTAACAAATTATTACATAATTAAATTTTGAATAATAATTTAGGAAAAAAAATTAATTTTTAAAATTATTCTAGTCCGAAAATACTAATGCAATATCAATTGTTCTCCTTGGTGAAGACAAAGTATTTTTAAGTCAATTGACAATTACAAATAAAGTACTTATTTAATTAATTAATTAAATAAAAATATTTATTTTAATTAAAAGTCCAAAAATGTATATATTCCCGAATCAATGAAAAGAGGGGAAGATATGTGCTTTGCTGTAACAATTTGTAATACTTTATTAATAACAGCATCATCCTCAACTTTTGGATGGTGGATTGGTTATTTATTAAAACAAGGAAATGCAAAAGTTTATTTTGATGCTGATTTTAGTAATTCAATATATAAAAGGGATAATTACCCTTCTAGCTGGATTCCATTAATTTATAATAAAAAATTAAAGAAAAAGGGAAAATAAAAATAATTTTTATTTATTTTTAAAAGAAAATAGCTTTTAATTTTTTATATTTAGTTTTTTGTAAAATATATATTAAAATAAATTTTGAAAAAAATTGCCAAAGAATTTAATTTTTAGCCAAAAACTTAATTAGATTGTTACCATTAATATAAGAAAAGAGATTTTAAAGAAAACACACTCAATTATTTTTTAAAAATAATTTCATCCAAATTTTGTTTATTTATTTCCGCCATCTTTCCTTCTTTTAATAATATTTTATCTGATTCATTAGTAATATAATTATTTGGTTTTCTACAAAATGTTAAAATCCAACCAATAAATATAAAAATAGTTCTAACTATACTCAAATATTTCCAAATTATTGAAGTAGAAAAGGGAAAGAAATAATTGTTATTTAAATTACTTAAAAATATAATATTTATTTTATTTTTAATATTTTTATTTAAATTTACTTTTGAATTACTCCATTTTTAGCAAATTCTTCGTCTAATTGACACAATAATGAAACAAAAAATGAACAAAACCAACAAATAATACAAATAAAATTAAAAGATAATAAAGAATTGTTTATAAAATCCCAAAAATTATTTTGAGGAAAAGGGGAAAATCTTTAGAAAAAAAAATTTAAAATTCTAAAAAACAATTTAAAAAAATTTTTTACCCGTCTAAAGCATCAACAACTGCAATTGAAAGACAAATATAGAAAAAAGCTTGTATTGGAACAGCCATTTGTGAATAAATATTTACTAGATTTTCGTGTCCCTTTAATTCTGGCAAAAAAAGGAAAATAAAAATTGCATGAGAAAAAGCAATTCCCGCCAGAAATCCTAAATAAATAAATAAATATTACTTTTATTTTTGTTTTTATTAAAAACCTTGGGAAATAGTTGAGATTGAATGAAATAAAGAATGCAATTTTTTTGCAAAAATAACAGAAGATAATTCTGAAAGATAATTTTTTATATCAAAATTATCTGTTGGTTTGCCCAAAGTTTGTTGACAATTTTGTAAATCTTTTTCCGTTGTTCTTTTAAATGTACCTGATTTTAGGTAAAATTACCATTAGAATATATTCCCAGCGCGGCTGGAAATATATGTAAATTGTGGAGAGATTCCTTACAAAATATCCCGATTATACAAAAAATCCCAGTCTCAAACGAAAAAGTCGTTTTTTATAAATTATGGGATAGATTATGAAACACCAAGGAAACTAGTTGAATTATTTTCAATAAATTTTTTAAGAGGAAAATTTTAAACATTAATTTAAAAATTAACAAATTTAAAGAACGGGTATAATATTCCATTTCGGGTTTAATTCCTTATGGTAATAAACATAATTCGTCTACACATATAATTTTTTATTTTAGAAAAAACAAACGATCAGGTAACTGAATATAAATCCATTCATTCGGTTGACTTTGTTCTAAAGGTTTTTGTATATGTCTGGCACTTAAAGAATGTGGACGTACCAAAAAAGAGTTGGATATTGTATTTATATCAACTAAAATATTTATATTTATTTTTAATTATTTCAATATTATTAACTATTTTTAGTTATTTCAACAGAATCATTGTTTATTGGTTGAACAACAGATCCACGTCTTCTTAGACGTCTTCTTTAAATTTAGAAAAAAATTAATTTTAAAATAAATATTTTACTTTGGTTTAGATTCTAATGGCTTTTCTATTGTTGAACTTGAAGAAGGTTGAAGTATTTCTCCTTCTTTTTCTTCTTTATTATCTTTAATATCCTCATTATTCTAAATATAATTTATTAATTAAAAATTTTATAAAAAAATTTAATAATTTTACTGCTAAAAATAGTATTTTATTTATGGAGATAAATAATTTAATAAAAAAATTAAACTCTTTTTTTAATTTAAAAAGTTAATTGACAAAAACTAATTCCTTCTTCTCATTTATTTACCTTTATTTCTTCATTTAATTCATTATTTGAATTTTCATTTTGATTTGTTAAAATTTCTTTTTTGTCTTCTTTTTTTACATTTTTACTTTTCCCATGATTAAATAAATATCCAATTTTGTCAGTAAATACTTCCTTTAATGGTTGGATTTGAAATATACTCTGACGGTTTTTGTCATTAGATTCTATTAATTTTTTATTGGAAATATTTGAAGTTTGATGTTTATTTTCAGAGGAATTAGAAGAAGAAGTAAATTCGTCGGAGGAGATTTTGTTTGATAACATTTAAATATTTAAAGTTTTTTGAAATAAAATTTTATAAAAATTAATAAAATCTGAATGTTGCTATGGCGACAAAAAAGGATTTGAAGTAAAAAAGCAATAAACAAAAAAAGTTATTTTATTTTAATTATGCTTGGCCATCCTTCTCTGAGGAAAAATTCGCTTAATGCTGAGTTAGGTGCCGAAATCAATTTTGGACAGGATCAAAATATCGTTTAATCCTAGTTTCATGTGAAAAATTTATTATTAAATAGGTACTGTCTGATTTTACTTATTAATTTTTATTTAAGGAAGTTTTATTATTGAAAATATGCAAAGAGACAGTTAATACTTTTTAAGACTTATCTTTGAAAAAAATTAAAAAGAAAAAGCATTATATATTTTATTTTTAATTTAATTTAAATATATAAAATATTTGTTTCTTTACTTATATTAAATTATCTTATCAGAAATTTTTTGAGCTTCAAAAGGATTCTCATGTATTGAAATTGCAGAATATAACCTTCCAAGAATTTTAATTTTAACAAGTGTGCCTAAAATTTAAAAATAAAATTTTTTAAACAATCCAACCTTCTTCAGCAAATTTTGGATTAACCATAGCAAGAGCTAAACTTTTATTAATTCTCCAACCAAAACTACCATTCGTTACTCTTCCAACAATTTTCTGTCCAAATTCATCAAAAATTGGTTCTCCTCCCCGTGTATCTACATTTTCTACTCCAAAAACTTCTAATGTTAAAAATTTCCAACGTTCTTTATTTTTCAAATAAATAAGACTATTTTTGCCAGGGAAATCTCGATTATTGTCTGCAAAGTTGTCAACATGAGAATGTAATCCGCATTCCCAAAGATTATAATCAGGAGTTAATTCGTGTTTAATTTGTCTAATAAATATGGAAATAAAAATTATACATACATACTTGGAACTAGACTAAAAAAATTAAAAACCCGACTTCTCTCAGTGTATTCCCTCCCTGTATATTTAAACCCAATAAATAAGAAAAAATAATTTTTAACAATTCAAAAATTACCTATAACTACTTTCGACAGCCATAGAATTTGCCGCGTAAACTCCAAAAGGTTTAATACCAAATTCACTACCAGAATCAAGTATTAAATCAAACAAAGTATTTTGCATCAATAAAGGATGAAGTAATTCCCATCCAATTTCCCCGAAATAATTTTTATGAAAAGCTTCTACCCAACAATGTCCCAAACAAATTTTACGTCCAAAATTCAATGGAAAAGAAGTTTCAGATAAATTAATTTGTGGGCAAAGCTTTTGAATAATTTTAGAGCTGTTAGGGCCAACTAACATAAAAATACCCATTTCTTTTGTACAATCAAATAATTGAACATTTTCATTTTCAGGAAGTAATCTCCTCAAAATATCATAGACATAAACAGCGTAGGAAAATAAAAAAATAATGAATTTATTAATTTATTTTAATTTAAATTTAAAATATTTATTGAAATTAAAAAATATTAAGTTGATCTTAAACTTGATTAAAATTGATTTACCCGAAGAGATTAAATAAAAACAATCATTAATATATTCATAAGCTGTAAATTCAGCAATAGCACAACCATTTTTATTTAAAAGAAAACATTGTTGTATTTTGCCTTTTTCTTCAGGTAAGGGTTTTGTAAATATTGAATTTAACCATTTTCTTGCATTTCGGCCTTTAACCATTAATTTTGCACAATACGAAGTATCCATTAAACCAACATTTTTATGAACATTTAAAACTTCGTTTCCAACATGTTTAAAATAATTAGAGCGACGAAAAGACCATCTAATTATTAAAAAATTGAATAAAATTTCTTAAATTTTTTCAACTTTTCTACGATAGGCCCATTCTCTTCACGTGGATTTGACCAATTTTTGTTTAGTAAAACATCCCTGCCAATTCCTAATTCTTCTTTTTCCAATTTATATGTTTCAGAAGGAACAAACCTTAAATAATACTGTCGGATCTCGCTATAGTGTAGTTGAGAAAATTGTGCAGTAAAATTAGTAGTTATACACTAAAGTAAAAGTATCGCTTAGGCATCTTCCCCCAATCTGTGGTCAACCAAATTTAGAAAAAAAACATAACCAAAATACATTACTAGTGGAGTATACTATCTATATCGAGATTCGACTTTATACATTAACGAACAAAATTATTCAATCAAGTACTGATAACAATAATTTGATGCTTTTGGCGCTAGTGTAAAATACTTTAAGGACAATTATATTATAAAGTTACCAATTAGGTCTTTCCCATCCACAAATTGAACCAAAAACTGCTCCTAAATTAGCCATACGTTCATAACAAGGAGATGTTAAGAGTGGTCTGCCAGCAGACCTTTCCTCTAAAAAATAAGAATGAATCTCAATAAAGCGGTCTAAACTCTTACAGAGAACCTAAGCTACTCCACCCTCCTTTATTATAAATCCTATCTCAATATTTGTTTTTAATATAAAAATCAAAACAGTACCATTAGGGTAATGTATAGTAAAGATATTTTCAGAAACTTCTTCACACTTTGATTGAATCCATTTATGTGAGGCATAATCCCCAAATCGACGTGGGTCTAAACTCGTCATATCAATGTTTGGTTCACCAGTAACTATCCATTCAGCTAACTGCCATCCAGCACCTCCAGCTGCTGTAATACCAAACGTATGGCCTTCACTAAGCCAATAATTATAAAGTCCTGGAGCTGGCCCAACAATAGGAACTCCGTCCGGAGTAAAAGGAATTGCACCATTATATATTGTTTTAATACCAACTTCACCAAAGGCAGGCACTCGATCTATTGCCTTCTCAATATGTGGCATAATTCGTTCCATGCATGGCTAAAGGTAAATGAATGAGAGGAATATATGATTTAAATGATTGGTGAGGGAAATAATTGAGGTAACTGGTAATGTCTTTATTTAGTCTCTCATGGAGGGGTTTCGTCATAGTTGGCATTTAAATTAACTCTTTTTTACTTGAAAAAGCTCAAATTCACTATCTTCAGACGGTCCTTCCAAATAACAAGCTGGTGCTCCCTTCTCATAAATACCAACAATAAAGCCTCCATTCTCTTCCCGAATATACCAAGAATTATCACTTTCTCTGAATATCTTTAAACAAAAAATTTTGCTTGTAATTATTTCTAAAAAAAATAATTTTTACACTTAATTCGGGCAATCCTTGTTTCTTTCTTTCTAATAAAATTGGATGTTGTTCTGTAACTAAATAATGATGTTCTACTGGCAATACGGGTAATTGAATTCCCATCATTTTAGCAGTTTTTCTTGCAAAACTTCCTGTTGCAGTAATAACATGATCAGTAATTATATTACCTTTATTTGTTTTAATTACCCATTTATTTTTATTAGAATCTTAATTTTTCAAATTAATTTTTATACAATTATATCGTTCACTTTCAACATAAAAAGGGTTAATATCAATTACAGGTGTTTGTGTATAAATTGTAGCTCCAAGATCACGAGAAGCTTTAGCAAAGGCTTGTGCCAAATTTGCAGGTTGGAGGTAGCCATCATCTGGATGCTGAATTCCTCCCAAAATACCGTCAATTTTGCAAATAGGCCATAATTTATTAACCTTTCAAGAAAAAATACGGTAAAAATATTTGAAGAAAGATTAACTTCCTCTTTTGTTAGTATATTAACTGGGACATTAATTGTCTCGGCAATACCCTTATAATACATATACTCATCCCAACGGTCATTTGTACAAGCTACTCGAAGATTAGTACATTGTCTAAAACCGATATCAACGCCTGTTTCCTTTTCTAGTCTTTGATACATTTCTACAGAATATTTGTGAAGTTGACCGATAGTGTAGTTAATATTGAAAATTGGGAGAAGACCGGCAGCATGCCTTAAAAATTAAAATCAAGTGGACTTAGGTATTATCTTTTGGTGAGAAAAGAATACTGTATTTTCAAAACTAAACATACCAGGTTGATCCACTAGTCAATTCTTTTCTTTCAAGTAATAAAACATCAGACCAACCCTTTTTGGCTAAATGGTATAGTGTAGATAAACCAACAATTCCTCCACCTACAACAACCGCTTTAGATTCAGATTTGATACTTTTTGTCAAAGTTTGATTAGAAGATGTAGAAAAGCCGTTCGAACAAATAAGGGAAATTTTGCAAGATTTGACATAATTTAAAATTTTGGCATTTTTACAGTAAAAGAACATTTAATAATTTAAAGAAGGGCTTCTTTTCGTACTTATTTTGGCACCTCTAGACTTTTTCAAGTAAAACTACTAAAAATTATATCAAAATTTTGCGAAAACACATTTATATTTTTTATTCAAACAAAAAAAGCAATATGGAAATTCTTTTATTTTGTCAAATGATAAGCACAACTGAGTTCATTTAGGTACAAATGCAAACATAAAATTAAATAAAGATTATTTATTTTTTTAATTTTTGTACGAATAAAAAGTGACAAACACACGGAACAGTAATTTGTGTGAATAAAATACATATTGAGCCTTTATCTAAAAAGTATTAATTTAAAAATTTTATTTTTCCTGTTGATTAGATCTTTGAGTAAGAATTTCTCTTAATTGTTTTGTTGCAGTTTCCAATGCACCAGGCTTAAAAATTAATTTTTAAATTAAAAATTAATTTTTATTTACCTGTGAATGTAATTGCGGGTGTGAACGAATCATTAAAGCCAAAAGAATTGAATATTCAACAAAAGAAAATGTAGCACCACGTTCAATTATTGTAGAGAAAAGTTGATCAAGATCCTAGATTTTTAAAAATAAATTAATATTTTAATCTTAAATAAATTAACTCGATTCAAAAATTCAAAAAACATTTGTGCCCTTTGCATATCTGTTTCTGGCCTTCTAAAAAATAATTTTTAATTTAAAATTAATTATTTTAATCAAACCCCGATAATTGACTTAAATATTTTTGAACAGTAAATATAGCTCTACAAATTCTTTTATGTTCAATTTCAGAAAGTTTATTGACTGAATGACTACAAAATTTTTTTTAAACTTTAAAAGATTTCAAAAAAAATATTTACCAAGAATGAATAAAAATAGAAGAACACAAATAACCTAAACCATCAAACATATATTTTAATTTCCATCCACTAAGATTTGATTGTAAAATTGAATGTAATTGTGTTAAATCACGTCCAAATTCCATAACGTCTTTGTCCATTTCTTCTTGTTGAGTAAATATTGTTGAAGAATTTTGATTTATAGTGATTGGTAATAAATGGAAAAAACAATGAAAACGTAATTCCAAATGAAGTACTAATAAAATACTATCAGATAATTTCTTTAAATTAAAAAAAAATTTAATTTTGTTTTTTAGTAGAAAAGTAAATATTAGTCAAAATAAATCTACCTATTTTGAATAATTCCAAAAAAATCTATTCATTTTAGGGAGATAACATTTTTTGGAATTATCTAAAATATGTAGACAATTTTTGTTTGAAATTTTTATTATTTCTAAGTATTTGTATGCAATACTACTAATAGCAAAAATTTAATTGATTTCAAAAACTATTTTTACCCAATTTTCTCTAAAAATGTTTCCTAAAGCTACTTAAAATAATTCAAACCCAATACTCGTTAATTAAAACCCCAAGTCGTGTTATTGTTAAAAATTCACCTCTAAAGTCCCTATTCGATCATTTATTGCATCACAAAGCATCTAGATTTTAAAAAAGTAAATCAGTAAAAAAGTAAATCAGTCAATAAAAAAACCTGCTCCAACAGAACTCCATCAGCTGTACTTATTTGTATTCGAGTTTTTGTTAATTCTTTGGCTTTTGGAGATAATCCAGAGAGAAGCTCTTTAATTCTTCCAATAAACCATTGAAGTGATTCATGTAAATAAGCTAAAATCTTTAATGAAAAATATTTTTTTGATTCCGAAAAAAAAAATATTAAATTTATTTACTTTAATATTGTCCAGAGAAGTAATTAATTCATTTTGTTTTAATTGTTTTTGGGTTCCCAAATTTCCAATTAAAATTTCAGATTCGCGTTGTGTTCTTTCTCTAATTTCTTGCTCACTTTCAATTAATCCAAAAAGACTTGAAGAAGTGCCAAAAGGTGTTGAAATTTGTTCAGATGAAGAAGAAAATAAAGAATTTTGAACAGCAGTCCAACTTGGCAAACTTTTTAATAAACGGGCAATATCCTCATCAACAACCCAAGCAGCACTTAATTTGGGATATTCAACTAAAACATCTCCTTGAGGTTGTCGAAGCATTGTTATCTATAAAAAAATATTGAAAATTTTTAAATATTTTTAAAAACTTGAGAATATTTTTCAGACACCGCTTTGATAAAATGTTCAAGAATTAATATCCAAAAAGAAGCAAATCTAAAAAAATTAAATTGTAATGGATTATAAGGACACAGAATAGGCATTTTTGCGTTAATTGAAAAGCAAAATTAAAAAACATGAAAGGAATAATAGAACTAATTATACTTAACGAACTAATCACTAGAGGTCGGCAAAATCGCACTTTCGGGATCCCGAGTCTGGATTTTTTTTCTTAACAGAGGCCGGGACGGGACCCCGAGGGACAAATCCCGAATTTCAAAAATCCCGAAAATAATTATCCGGGATCCCGCCCGGGGTTCGGGATTTTTTTTCAAAATAAAAAATTTAAACTTTTTATAAATAAAGTGCATCAAAATACTGCAATTTATATGTAAATAATATTAACTTTGTAAAAATCTAATAGATTTAGAGGGATATCGGTGGATTAATCACTAGGTAACTTGATAAAATCCCACTATATACAAATCCATCCACCTTACCTCCGATAATACCTCCAAATTTCTCCGTTTGCAGCGCCGCAGGCGAACATTTTGAGAATTTTGGAGCACAAGAAGCCAGATTTCTTCCATTTTCAGCGCCGCAGGCGAAAATTTTTAAAATTTCGAAGACCGTAGGCTAAAATAATTCACTTTTTCAGCGCTGCAGGCAAAAATTTTGAGAATTTTGGAGTTCCTTAAGCCAGATTTCTTCATTTTTTTGCGCCGCAGGAGGATTTTTTGCGCCGCAGAAAATTTTGAGAATCACAAGAGTAAGACATGCTTGGGATATGCTAATTTAAAAATCCCGAAAATTATAAAATATTGTCCGGGATCCCGAGTCGGGATTTTGTTTTTTAACCGATGCCGGGACGGGATCCCGAGGGATAAATCCCGAAAAAATCCCGGATCCCGAAAATAAAAAAAATCCGGGATTTCGGGAGCGGGATCCCGGAAAATCCCGCCGGGATCCCGTCCCGCGCCGACCTCTACTAATCACAAATCAAAAAATATCTAAATGAACCTGAGAGCATAAAGTTCCATATTTGTAATATAATCATTAATTTGTTCACATAATTCCGCTATTCGAACACAACTATTTAGTACTTTCTTAAAATATAAATAACAAAAAAAAACATTCAAAAAATAACCACAGGACAACCAGGTACTTCACAAACTGTTGCCCATAATTCAGTACCACTTAACGCCCTTTCTGTTTGATTTTCTAAATCGACCCGAATTTGCTCAAAGAAAGCTTCAGCAACAAAAGTTTGCATATAAGTACCAATTTGACTAAAATATTTAAAAAAATTAAAGAATAAAGTAAAAGAATACCAGCAATCATCCCCCAATTGATTTTCAATTTCCCGGCTAAAAATTGCAATTTTGTGAAAAATTGGAACAATATTGTAAACATCTGGAGAACAAACAAGTTGGATTTGCTAAAAAAAGTAGGAAATGAAATTGCTAAAAGTTATTTATGAGATTTAATACTTGTTAAGAGTATTAGAGAAAAATTTTAAAATTCTTAATTCATACACATATGAAGAACAAAAAATTAAAAAATATTTATATCCCAAAGCATAGCAAATCTTCGGTTCTTTTATAAATTTACCTTTTTTCTAGAAGAAGCACTAACATAAGAAACAAAAGAAGCATTCTCAAAACTAAATAACTTTTTTTGTCCACCACTTTCTTGTTCACCATCTGAGCGTTTTTTATTACGCCAAACATTTAAATGTTCACTCAAAATTTCCTCCATTCCTTCCAATGAAATTGCCCAAAAACGTCGTAAAATTGGTATTTTTGGAGTATAATCAACTTGTTGAAGTTCTCCAGAAAGAATAGCAAATTGTCGGGAACACCCACTCAATTGGGCAATTAACTGAAATTTTTTGGGAAATTCTGATGATTTTTTAAAATCATCTACTTTCAAAATTTTTAAACAAAAATATTGTAAATTTTATTTGATATGTATTCAACCTAAAACCAAAGAGAAAGAGATTGGAAAATTCTAAAAAGAAGAATTTTAAAATTCCATGACTTATTTATAGAACATATCATCGGCGTATCTAGTGTAGCCAGAAGATGAAAATATCCTTACAAAAAATCTCCGTCCAAAACACTAAGTGTTTTAATTATATTTCCCAGAAATTCCGACCTATGGATACGCCCACGAAATTAATTATTTTTAAATTTTAAAAGATACATAAAATTTTTAAAATACTTACAATTCTAACAAATTGAACTAAATTTTCACAATCTTTTGGACATCCAATATTTCCCTCATTATTTGATTGAATTATCATTTTCGCTGTTTCATTAGCCAATCGAAGTAATAAATTAGGAATTTGAGTAAATAAAGAATTTAAAGCAGAATCTATTTGACCAAAAACAGAAAGTACTTCAAAAAGTTCAAAATAACGTTTTTTCAAAAATTCTTCATCTTCTAATTGAGAACTTAATTTAAAAAAATATTATTATTTAAAATAAAAAAACAGACATTTTCTTTTTTGTATAACGTTCACTCAAAGATAAACCAATTTTAGATTCTTTTAATTTGTCATCTTTAGCCAACGAAAGCATCTATTTGAAAAAAAGTTTAATTATTTATTGGCAAAAGAAAAAAACCTGAATTTCAAAAGGTTCAACAAAACTTCCTTGTACAAGTTCTTTTACAACATGTTCAAATAATTTCTATAAAAAACAAAAAAAAATTTTAAAGAAAAAATTAAGGAAAATTTTAATTTCTAATAATTTAGCCAATAAAATACTTATAAAAACTTTAAAATAAAAATTTTTTCAGCTTAAACTTGTGCCAAAAGTATAAATGCTAACAAGATATTGTTAATAAAGAGCGAGATTTTCAAAAATCCTTGACCTTGATTTCATTTGGGTACCTTGACCAAATTCTTGACATTGAGTCAAGGAAAAATCAAGGAACACTGAAAAATGTCATGATCTGGACTCTGGATCCAGGAAAAATCAAGGTCTGGATCCAGATCCAGCACGCTCTCTACGCTCTAAAATATTAACCTGTAAATTGTCCGAAACAATAAATTTTAATTGACTAATTCCTTCAAGATTAGACAAAGGTCCTTTTAGAAGAATATCTTTAAAAAAATTAATTAAAAAAAATAAAATATTTAAAAGAAACCAGCATCCTTCAAAACTTTAGCCAATTCTCCATATTGTCTATTTGCCAGTAAAGTTTCGTTTGTTTTGTCAATATCTCTTATTTGTTTCCTCAAAAATTAAATAATTATAATTAAAATTTAAAAAAGAAATACATTTGGCGTAAAATCCCACAAACGGACTTTTGATGAGCATTTTCAAGCCAAAATCTATTTTTAAAATAAATTTAAAAATTTAAAAAGGAATATAAATTTAAACTTATTTAAATCATCCCGTCGACATTGCAGAAATGATTTACAAAGAGAAAGGGAATTTTTAACATTCAGAATTTGTTCTCGACTATTTGTAAGTGAACGAGAAACTGATTGAAAAGTATTTAAACATTGCATTACATCAGCACGATGCTCTAAAAAGAAATTAATTTTAACTAAAATTTACATATTTTTGTTAATATAACTGAACAAATTGTTCGAAATCTTCCCAAAAAATTTTTTCGAAAGTACTGATATTTCTACTAATTTTACAATTATTTTTAGACTTTCAAGACATTAATTTTTAATTTAAAAATAAAACTAAAATTCCCCTGTTGACAAAAACGGTAAAAACTTAATTAAATTTAAAGTTGAAAATCATTAATGATTTTTTAAATTTCCATTATTTTGTTTAAGAAATTTTTTTATTTAAAAATAAAATTTTAAAATAAAAGTTTAAATAAATTAATTAACCTCTAAGAAGTTTGTCAATATTCTTTAAAAAATTAAATTTAAATAATCTCCTTTAAAAAACCTTCTCAGATTGTTGATATCCTTGTTCAATACGTTCTCTCTCCAATTGACGCTGATCATCTGATGAAGTTGATGTTAATGTTCTAATAACATTTATGAGAAGTTCAGACTAAATGAAATAAAAAAAAAATTAAAATTTTAAAGAATTATTTACCGAAATCCCTTCAGTTGGAGCAGAGGAAGAATTTATTTCAATATTATGGTTTTGTTCAGTCATATTCAAATAAAAATTGTGAAATAAAATTAATTAAATTATAAAATATAAATTTTACTCTAAAAGTTATATTTTCTAAAGTTATACTCTAAAGTTATACTTTCGGTAAAGCCCGTTTTATAGTAGCCGGTTCAGAGTACGGCAAGTTTGGGACGTTTCAGAGTACGTAGAATATACAGTAATGTGCAAAAGTTTGAAACATTTTTTTCTAAATAAATAATTAAATTAATAATTTTTCTTTCAATTTTCAATGAATGGGCTGGATTAAATCTTCGAAAATTAACTACTAGTGTTCTCTATAAAATGACACTAAATGTGTCTGATTATTTTCAAATATTTTTATATTATATTTAATACCCAAAAAATATGTGTTTCACTATATTTTGATGCCAAAATAAAAACAAAAAAATTTATAAAAATTTTTTTGTATAAGGGAAAATTAAAAGAACTAAGCATATTTCATTTCACTATCGAGATCTCGCTACCCTGAAAATCAAATATTAAGGGTTCAGAGTCATCAATCAGCTTAAATATGTACAACAATTATTTAATAAAATATAATTTTAAATACAAAATACAATTTTTTAGAATTATTTACCTTAAATTCTCTAATAAAAGCCCGCCTCTATTAGAAGGCCATCTCTCATATAAGACACCTCAAAGTGATCTATTGAAAATATAATCTAGGGCTTACATTAGAGCTTTCACGGACGGCATTTATACAATTTTTGAAAAATTATAATCTAAATTTTGTTAATCTTTTACACAATACATAAGAAAGGATGTGTTTTAAGAAGACAGGACTCGGAAATAAAACCGTAGTCAAGAGAGAATTCGTAAAGATTTTATAAATGAACATTAGGGCTACGTTGTAAATACGTGTTACAATTTACGAATTACGGCATATTTTCAGTTAGGAGAAATTTCGACTTCTTCTTCTGAATAAAAACAAAACTGTCTAAAAGATGGGGTCAAAGCTTTCGATCCTGAAAATTATTTAATAGGATTTAAAATTAATTTAGTAAATTTACATTTTATTTAAATCAATTTTGTTGTTTGTAAATAAAGAATATACAGATCCAGATTTTGTTAAATAATTTTTAAATATATTATCAAATGTTAAAAGTTGTTCAATTTGATTATCATTTAATTCTTTAGAGGAATTTAAATTAACTCCAATAATCCATAATTTACAAAAAGTTAATGATGATTCTCTTTAAATTTTTTTTATTTTATTTAAATTAAATAAAAAAAAACCTTTTACTATTTTTATCAAAACATTTAACATTTTTTTCATAATTTGTTATTAATTGACTTTCTTCAATTAAATTATTTTGTTCATTTTCTTTTTCCCAATTATATAAATATGTACGTAATAAAACTTTTTGTTTATTACAATTCTTAAGAAAAAATTATTTATTTTTAAATTTAAATTTAAATATTTATTTTTACCACATCTTTATTTACTTTACATAAAATTAAAATAAAATATTCATAATTATTTTCCCAATTTAGCTCTTCAATTAATTCTTCCCAAATTGATTCTTGTTCATTACTTGTTTCATTAATAATTTCATTTGCTTAATAATTAGATTTAATTTTAAAAAAATATTATTTTTAATTTAATAATATTTATTTACCCCTATTTCTAATTAATTAGGATTTTTGATTGTCGAAAATATCTTAGTTATTTGATTTGCAGACAAATTAATCAAAAATAATTTCAAAAAATTTTGTCAAAAATTGTTAAACAAAATTTTAATCTTATATAAATTAATCCAAAAACTGTTACTTTAATTGACAACCTAAAAATAATTATTTAAATTTAAATTTACCTCTTTCAATTTCTTTAATAATTCTTCTGAATGTAAATTTATTTACATTAAATGTTGTATTTTGTTCAGGAAATCCAGATGTAATTACAAACATTTGTGTCCCATCATTTCCTTCTTTTTCTTCTTGTTCTAATTCATCATTTGAATCAGTTTCAGAACTTTAAATATTTAATTGTTTTAGGGTGTAATTTAACAAATTAGTAAAGATCGGGAAAAAGGGTCACTGCCCTCTAACTACACCCTTGATCAACCGACTGCTTCCTAATTAACTAATTCCTTTTCCACTACATACCGCATTTCTTGAAATAGTACGGCCCCCTTTATTAGTATGGCCCTGAAAAATAGTAGACCGGCCGTACTATATCAGGAAATGCGGTATGTAGTGGAAAATGAATTAGTTGATTAGGAAGGCAGTCGGTTGATCAAGGGCGTAGTTCTCTCCTCCTCATTTTCCAGTATTCCTTAGCCAATTTATAATTAATTTTCAAAAAATTCTAAACTCAGTCTCAAATTCAGAATTATCTTCTTTATTAATCCATTTCCAAGGTTCAACAATTTCTCTAGCTTTTTTAAATTCATTTTCCAATTCATTTAATAATATTGGTTGTGGCCAACCCCTAAAAAAGGAAAGAAATATAGTAAAGCAGAGTTGGGCTATAGCTATTTCTCTCCTTTAGCTAGTGCAAAAGGTTATTCATCGGCTGGGAGCGAACCAGCATCTTCAGTAGATCAGACTGATGTGTTATCAATTACACACATCGCCTACTGTACAGCCTCAGGAATTAAATAGCTTTACAATATTTGTTTCAAAAAAATTGAAATATAAAAATAACCATAATTTATAAAAAATAAAAAATTGTTTAATAGCAATTGGTAAACTAGCACTTGGATATATTATACATATTTTTGCAGACATAATAGCTAAAGAAGAACCACTTAAATAACCAGCAATGTTTGAATAAATTAAACGATCTATATTTAAATTTTAAATTTAAAAATATTTAAGAAAAAATACTTTTTGCCCAAATCTTTAAAAAACGCATTAATGAAATAAACAATTTTTGATTTAAATTCATTTCTTTTATTTTTATTGTTGAACGAAAACCTTTTTTTAAACAAAAATTTTTTATTTTCTTTTTTAATTAATTTAAACCTGCTAATGCTAAAATACTTTGTTTATTTTTATTTTCTTCAATTATTTCATTATTCATTATATCAAAATTATTTGTTACATTTTTAAAAGGAATTTGTGCATAAATTAAATCTACATCAATTCCATAAATTTTTAATTCAATCATCAAAATTCTGCTTGTTTGAACTATATTTACGTTGATTTTCTATTTTTAAATTTTTAATTGTTTTTAAATATATTTTCGGAAATTTGTTGGATTATTTTAATTAAAGAAGAAAAAGCTGGGTACATTTATTTCCCCCAAGTTGCCTCGCGGCCAGGCAGCCGTAGAGCTATAACTTCGTTGAAAATTATAGACCATGGTATTCGATGCAACTTGACTAGCTGAATCGAACCGGCGTCCCGAATTCAATAGATTTAAACGAAGTGTACTTTTTTAAATGAACTGTACTTGCTTCCGAAAAAGCTGACTTTTCCTCTCCCTCAAGCACTCATTTGCATATTTTATACATTTTACATATACAATTTAAATTTTTTAATCTTTGGATAACTTAATCACGAGTTTTACGGATCTTCGATGCTACTGAATATTAGATGGTCTTTCCTAGTGCGCAGCACCCGAATGAAAAATAATTTTACACCTAAAAAGTTGGGTGGTTATATCATTTCCGGACACACTGTATTAAATGGTTAAGAATTTTTGAATTAACTCCCATTTATATTCACAATAAAAACCTTATTTGACAATAAACGTCCATATAAACCATAGATTTCATCCTCTCCTTTAAAATCATAAATATTTATATATTTCGGTAAAATACACAAAATATCCATATCTGACAAAGAAGTATTTGTTTCTAATATTTGAGAACCTCCAATTTTTAATTGAAAATCTTCTTTAAATAAAAATTATAATCCAAAAAATATTTTTTTAAATTTACCTTTATTTTCATCATTAAATTCATTTATTCCTTTCATTTGTTTTACTTTTTTTATCCATTCCTTAATTTCTTTTTCTAAAAAATTTAAGACAAAATTTTTATTTTTATTTTCTTCAATTATATATTCTTTATTAATTATTTGTTTTAACTGAAAAAATTAAGATTTTAGGGAAACATAATTTAATTTTTTCGAATTTTTAAAGATTATTGTAAATAAATTTTTTAATTTCTAACCTTATTTTCATGTTTTATTAAATTATTAACATAAATATCAAATTGAGAATTTTCATAATATATTGGTTTAAGAAATTTTCTTTGATTTATTTTTTTAGAGTTATTATTGTCAATTATTGTTCTTTTAATCCAAATTTCATCTAAAATATTTTAATTTTTATAACTTTTTTTAAATTTATTTTTATTTAAAGGCTGCCAAAATTATTTATGAATAATGTTACTACGCCTTTTTTAAATTCAAAAGTACCCTTACGTGTACATAAATATTACCCGAGAACGAAATTTTCCATGTTTTTTTTAAAAAGTATCTTAAATGAATGATTCTCTAAATTAAAAATTTTTTTTAGAATTTTGCGTGATCTGTGATTATACATGTCTCTAATTATTTAAGGAGAAAATATAAATTATTTATGTACATATTTTCTTTTTTAGGATTTTCATGTAAATTGTTTTAAAGCTAAATTACATTTTAATCTTTGTATATTTGGAGATTACTCATTAATTTGATTTAAAAATATTCAAGACCTTTTTTATTATTTACCTAAAATTTTTTGTTCCAACATTAATTCCATAGCATTTATCTGCCAAAGAAATTCATTTTGAAAACTTTTATTTTTAAATTGAGGATCAATTAAACTTATTTTATTCCATATTTTATCATCTTTTAAATTAAAATAATTTTCATTTTTTCCTTCAATTATTTTGTTGTTTTTAGCAATTAATAAAGAAAATAATTGAAAATGTAATTTTGAAAATAAATTTATATTATTTATTGAATTAATTTCATTTATTTGAATATCGCCATTATTTCTACAAAATATTTTTAATTTTTTATTATTTTATAAATATAATAATTAGTTGGATTTTTAATTTAAATAAGCTTGAACCCCCAACATTTATTCACTCGAACTTTGTTCCGAAACAAATTCATATCCCGATATACATGCCCCGAATGTTCAGACTGCAATACTAGTATTAATTTGAAGATTGGACAACGTGAAAGATAAAAAATGTTGTTTGGGAAGGCTTATTAACGATTAACTATGAAAGGCTTGTTTAAACAAAAGTCTCCTGCTATTATTAATATCCTGCTCTGTCGTGTTTGTGTGCTCTCGTCTACGTTAACAAATCTCGAACAAAACATAAAATATTAGATATAGAAAGTTAATTCGTCTTAGGCAAAAAAATGTGAAAAATTCTTAAGTTAAAAAATATAAACACTAAATATTATATAAAATAAAAATATACATTTTTAATTCAAAATTATTTAATCCTTCAATACTTTCATTAATTGTAAAATTTGTTAATCCATTAAATATTCTAAAAAGATTTTCAAATATTTCATTAATATTACTATATTCGTTATTTGTATCGTTAATTTCTATCATTAAATTTTTATTTATTTTTTCTTTTAATTTTTCCCAAACTTTTTTTGAATTTTTAAATATTTCTTTTAAATTTTCTTCAATTAAATAATTATTTATTAAAATTTCAATTAAATGTAATTTTTCATTTATAGCAATAATTATAACATAAATTTTTAAAATAACAATGATTCTGTCATCTTTTGATAATTTTTGATTTAAAAAGTCATTATATATTTGAGTTAAATTTTCTATAAATTTAGTAAAATTTAAACAAATAAATATTTATTTTGATAAAAATATTATTATATTTATTTCATTTGTATTTTAATTTTTTCATTTATTTACCCTTCCCCCATTTTTACAATTATTCAAATATTTTCACTAAAACATTACTAAGCGAAATCAATTGGAAGGTTCCATTGGGGGAAAGTAAGAAGCATTTGAATAAAAATTATTAGATTGTAATTTGTTAGTAAAAATATTAATATTTTTATAAAAAAATTCCTAAGAATATTTTTTAAAAATTTAATACCTTCTTTATTTAAATATATTAATATATTTTCTATTAAAATATCATCATTTTTAATATTTTCATCTTTATTTTCTATTAAATTTTTTTCAATTTTATTTTCAAATTCCTCTTCATTTTTATCATTAATTAAAGGTTTTATTTCTTCGTCTACTGTTTCTACAAATTTTGAATTTTTATTTGGTTTTTTCTTTTCTTTTCTATTTTCTTTCTTCCGAATTACTGAATCTAAATATTCTTTCCGCCTAGCTGCGTGTTTAACCGTTGGAATTTTTCTATCTGATTTTTCTAAAAAAATGTTTTTTTTATTTTAAAGGGAAGAGGGAGGGAGGGGGGGGGGGTATTTCTCTTCGTATAAGTGGGTAGCGAACTGAACATTTTTTCTGCAGGTTTCTGTCACTTTCTCTCAATTACAAACCTTTTGTAAATTCAACCACATCTTGGCTGTTTTCATTTATTTGAACTAATTTATTCTTTCCTTTATTTGATTTTTGTTCAAGAAAATATTGTGTTTCAATAGAAGAATTTATATTCACAATTTCTTTTATTTCCCCATTATTTTCTGTTTCCTTTAAAAAATAAATATTAATGTTTAATGAAATAGAGTTTTGTTTGTTTGCCACCATAGACATGGGATTTGAAAGATTCTAGGTCGTATGGGCTACAATCAAATATATAACTTGAGCAACATTGAAACAAAAAACTCAACTAATTAATATACTCAACAACCTATGTACATAAACTCAATTTTCCCGGGATTGTGATTTCGAAAATTTCTGGTCCTCGCCTAATTTCTGAAAATGCCTCTCACATAATGTATTTATAAATAATTTAATTAATTTTATTCTTGAAAACCTTAAAATTATGGCTTGGCTCTCCACTTTGTTTTTTACTATTTTCACTAAATTTTTCCTCAGCAGTTTTAATTAATCCGTTTATATTTGAATTACAAAATTCCTTGACAACAATTGCTTAATTTAAAAATTATTATAATTTTAGTAATTTAATTGTTATATTATGCCATTTTAATATAAATTGTCTTAATTTACTATAGGATTTATGGTGTTTTGTCGGGACAAGTTTACAAAGGAATGATTAAATATTTTTTGTCTTCTTAAATTTATTTTTAATTTTACCATCCGCTTCACATTGCAAAAATTGTTTAAATTCCTCATTTTTATCATTATATAATAATTCTATTAATTTATTTTTGTGCATTAATTTCTGATTTTGTTTATTATCTTTTAATTTCTTTTTATTTTCTAAACCTCTTTCCATATATCTTCTCCAATCTTCTACTGCTATTTCTGGATTAATTTTTTTCTCTATACATTTTTTTCTTTTCTGGGAATCTTTAATTCTTTTGCAATTTTTTAAAATATTTTTTATTTTTAATAGAATTTCCTCGGTACTTTCCTTTGCTGTTTGAAGAAATAAAAATTTGCTCATATTAAGGTGATATATTTCATTTTGGTTTACAAACAAATTCTAAAAGTTAAAATAAAAAGATTTGTTCAAAAAAATTTAAATTGTATTTTTCAATATAAATAATTATTTTTATTATTTATTTATTTTTAAGAAAAAATTGAATGTTTAGTTAAAAGTAAATATAATTATTATTCCATAAACGGAATCTAACTGAACAGATTCCCGAAATTAGAAATATTCTTGTCACTATAAATTTATCTCCAATTATTACCTCAATTTCTTTAATATAATCTTCCTCTGTCCATTTAATACCTTTCACAAAAATTTCATAAACCATGTTAGTCCCTCCCCAAAAATTAATTCGAATATTTTTCCATAATTCTTGCATCTTTTTAATTGTTCCTTTTATCAAAATTCCATCTAAAAAATAAAGAATTGATGATTACTTTAATTATTTAGGGGTTCTTTTCCGTCTGTTTTTGGGGGTTTTGTCTGTCCTGTCAGGCCTGACGGCCCTACTTTTATTGTAAATCTTTTCTTTTTGTATTATTTTAGAAACTAACCAAGATCGCAAATATTTAATCTTTAGGGAATTTTTTATATTTGGAAATAACCTTACCTTCATTCTTTTCAATTTCTTTTAATATTTCCTCATGTTTTTTTATTTCCCATTCTTTATAAATAAAATAATCTAAAACATTCCAATTTTTCCAATCTATTGTATTTACAATTTTTGGAGTAAATTTTATTTTGTATAATTCAATAATTATATTATCAAGTTTCACAAAATTTCCACCAAAAATTTCAGGAAATTTTTCAGAAAGAATAGCAACTCTAGCTAATCCAAACATTTTTTCCAATCTTTTTCTAATTTTTAATAACCTCTTTTCATTTTTAATAAATTCTAAAAAATATTTGTTTTTCATAACAGAATTATAAAATTCTATAAAATTTCCTTCAATAATTAATTCTTTTAAATAAACATCTTGATTAACTATATTATTTCCCCTGTCACATTCAAAAACGGCTAAATTTGATATAATTCCCGTTTTCTTTACAACAATAATTTTAAATTTTAATCTTTCAAAAACTTGAACAAGCCAGCAAAGATTATCGTTATTTGGTCCATTCATGTATATATCTTTTCTTATTCTAAATTTAACGGAAAATTAAAATAAATATATCTTATTATTTAAAATATAAGTATGTACATTCAAATCTTGATTTTAAATATTACACACCCTTGGTAATGAACAAAGTTTATGTTCAACAAAAAATTTATCCAAAATCGAGATTCGATTGTATATATAGGTATTAAAGTTTTATGTATGGGTATCTTGTTTTCATCATTTTTACGGAATAAAAAATTTTTTTATTAAATAAAAATGTTTAAGAAATATTAAGTAAAAACCTACTTAATAACTCCAATATTTCTACAAAATTTTACTCAGATAGTCTACTATATATATCAGAGCTGGGCTAATTTCGCATTTCACTTTTATTTTTAGATATCGCCCAGTCCTGATATATATGTTTATGTGAGTTAGATTTTCTAATTTTTATAATCTCTTAATTATTTAAAAATATTAACCCTTCATAATATTCCAATATATTTATTTCAACAACATTATCATTAAAATCAAATGCTGAAACTTTATCATTTAAAAAATCAATTTGTTCATTATATCTTTCCATTAATCTTTTATTTATAGAAAGAAATGTTGTTGATGATATTTTTAATTTAATTTCTTTTGCCTTTTTATTTGTTTCGGCTAATAAATATTCTTTATAATAATTAGCTAATAATTGGTTTTTTAATTCCAATGAAGCTGGATTACTGATAAAAGCACTTTCAAGTCCCCAAATTTTTTCATGGGCCCAATTGGTTATTCCTTAATATAAAAATTTTAATTTAATTGAAATTAAAAAAAACTAACGACGAAAATAATCTTTCAGGGGATGACCATTGTTATTTGAGGGCAAAAATATTAAGAAAAATAAAATGAAAATTAATGAATATTTCATTTCACAACTAAATTATGAAATTATTTTTTAATAAATATTTAATTATGGACAACTTGAGTTTGATAAAAATAATTAGAATGTTAAAATAAATTAAATAAATATTAAAAATTTAATAAATAATTCTAAATTTTACCCAAAAATATAATTAATTAAAAAAATAAAATTTAAAAACATTAATTTCCTTAAATTCTCTCGAATAAATGCCCTTTTTTTAATTTTAGCCTTGTATTGGCTGTCACGTTTATCGATGTTTTAATATAAAAAATAAATAAAAAGTACATAAAAAGTGCATCTTTTAAATAAAAAAATTTTAAAATAAATTTTGAAATAAACAATAAAAAGTATTTAGAAATATATAACAGAGATAGAGCATTTGGATATATTATACATATTTTTGCAGACATAATAGCTAAAGAAGAACCACTTAAATAACCAGCAATGTTTGAATAAATTAAACGATCTATATTTAAATTTAAAAATTAAAATATTTAAAAAGAAAAATATGTACTTTTTGCCCAAATCTTTAAAAAACGCATTAATGAAATAAACAATTTTTGATTTAAATTCATTTCTTTTATTTTTATTGTTGAACGAAAACCTTTTTTTAAACAAAAAATTTATTTTTTTTAATTAATTTAAACCTGCTAATGCTAAAATACTTTGTTTATTTTTATTTTCTTCAATTATTTCATTATTCATTATATCAAAATTATTTGTTACATTTTTAAAAGGAATTTGTGCATAAATTAAATCTACATCAATTCCATTAATTTTTAATTCAAGCATCAAAATTCTGCTTGTTTGGACAATATTTACGTTGATTTTCTATTTTTAAATTTTTAATTATTTTTAAATATATTTTCGGAAATTTGTTGGATTATTTTAATTAAAGAAGAAAAAGATGTGTAGAACTATTTCCCCCAAGGTACCTCGAGGCCAGGTTACTTATTTCTTTGAAAATAATAGACTATTGTATTCGATGCAACTCGACGAGCTGATCGAACCGGCGTTCCAAATTCGATAGTTTTAAACGAAGTGTACGTAAAGTAGTATACATTGGCTTGCTTTGAAAAAGCTGACTCCTTCCTCTCTCATGAAAAGCCCTCTTTGGAATTTTATCTTTCAAATTAAAAGCCCGAAATTATATGCCCTTTATTTATTCTAAATCCAAAAAATTCTGGTCTCAGGTTAAAAAATTAACTTTATCGGGCATATTTTTATAATTGTTATTTTCACATTTAATTAATATATATTTAAATATTTATTAAATGGTTGAGATTTTTAGAAATTAAACTTCAAATTATTTTTAAAAAATTTAAGTAATAGGATTAAAGTTTATAGTACTATCTAACAAAGTCTCAATTAAAGAAAAACCTTATTTAACAATAAACGTCCATATAGACCATGGATTTCATCTTGTCCATTAAAATCATAAATATTTATATATTTTGGTAAAATACATAAAATATCCATATCTGACAAAGAAGTATTTGTTTCTAATATTTGAGAACCTCCAATTTTTAATTGAAAATCTTCTTTAAATAAAAATTATAATCCAAAAAAAATATTTTTTAAAATTTACCTTTATTTTCATCATTAAATTCATTTATTCCTTTCATTTGTTTTACTTTTTTTATCCATTCCATAATTTCGTTTTCTAAAAAATTTAAGACAAAATTTTTAGTTTTATTTTCTTCAATTATATATTCTTTATCAATTATTTCCTTTAACTGAAAAGAATAAAGTTTTAAATTTCTGTAAAAATATTTTTTGAAACTTTAAGATAAATTTCCTCCCCTACATACACTTATTCACTAACCCCTATTTTTCTTGACTTTAATATTATACTAATTCATTTTATTTTTAAACTTTTTTGTAATAATAGATAGATATCGCGATAAAAATAAATTTATAAAAATTTTAGTTTGTTGAAGTTAATTTCCTCGAGGGTTTTAACAAAATTATAATATTATAAAAATAGCAAAAACCAGGCTCATAATTAAGTCAAGCTTCTAATAACACATCTGAAATAACTTAAAACATTTTAAAAATAAAATGAATGGTTGTTATATTAAAGTCGGTAAAAATAATGGTGGTCTATACATTTGTGGATTAGTGTAAATTTAAGCAAAATAAACTATCTAGCCTTATCTTCATTTGTATTTTCAACAAAAATATCAAATTGAGAATATTCATAATATATCGGATAAAGGAATTTTGAAGGTTTTATTTTGTTTTCAAAAGTATTTTCCTTCATTATTTTTTCAATCCAATCTTCATCTAAAATTTTTGTTAATTTAAATTAATTTAAAAGCTGTTTAGATAAGTTTATAAACACAAGCAGACTATCCGCAACTGCGGATTGAATGCGGATTCAGATTCTCTTGTACCTGTTTTTTAATTAGTTCTACATATTTGTTTAATTCTTTTAAAATATATCCACTTAAACAAAAATGTAATTTTTTGCTCGGTTCGGGATCTATGTTAATTTGATAAGAATAATTATTTACCTAATATTTTTTGTTTTAACATAAACTTCATTTTTTTAATATTTATTTCTAATTTTTCCAAAAAAATATTTTTCTCCAATTTTTGATTAACAAAATTATTTAATTTCCATTTTTGGTCTTTATTCATTTTTTCTAATTTTAAATTAAAATTTATTTCTTCTTTATTTTCAATCAAATTTTTAGCAAATAAAAACGAAATTAAATGTAAATGTAATTCTGAAAATAATTTTATTTTATTTTCATTTATCCCTTCTTCTAACATTTTATTTTTTCTAAAAAAAATATTTATTTTTAATTTAAAATTAATTATTTAAATACTTATATATTTTTTCGTTTTTTAAATAATTTTCTTCAAATTCTTCAAAAATTTTATTTAATAATTCCCAATTTTTTATTTCTTTAAATATTTTAAATAAATAATTAAAAATTATTTTAAAATTATTTTCTCCTCCTTCTCCTTCTATTTTCTCTTTAATTAATTTTTTAATAATTTTTTCTCTTAATTTTTTCCAAATTATTTTTATATTTTTAAATTTTTCTTTTAAATTTTCTTCAATTAAAATTTCTTTTGAATTTAATTTTTCATTTATTGCAACAATTAAAATATTTATTTTTATAATATTCTCAACATTTTTGTTATTTTTAGATTTAAAATTTAAATATTCTTTATATATTTTAATTAAATTTTCTATCGGTTTATGATAAATTGCTTTAAAATAGGGATTTATTTATTTTAGAAAAAAATTTAAAAAAAGAACCACTTACATTCTTTTAAAATTTTTATAATTCTTTCAAGTAAAATATCGTAATTTATATTTATTAAATTTTTTTCATTTTCATTAATTATTTTATC